CTGGTCAGGTTGAAGGAATGCCTTCAATCATGTCACGAACTCCCCAAGTTAGCTTCGGACACGGAAGAAGCCGTATCGGCGGCTAGGAGAACTCTTTGCGCCTGTCTCGTCAAGAAACCTTCAAGCCCTCCAGACCTACAGATGTTGATCTGCCGATGCCTGTTCAGCTGCTTGCAGATCTGGTCAAGATGTCCTGACAGAAAGACGCCAGCCACATCATTCGTCGAATCCGGAATTCTGGCCTCCAGTATATGGCTGAAAACCTTTGCCGCCAAAGATGTAGGGTTACAGGAGTTGCTTAAAGCTCAAAAATACCTTCGTAGTATTGCATCAGCACTTCGAACAGATTCGGACAAGAAATTGCTCCTGGCGATGTCAGAGTTGCAATGGCGAATTTATCATTACTGCAGACGGGGAAATGGTCCAAGTGAAGGCAACCACGATGTTTCAGATGTCCTCCTTGGAGCTGTGGCTCCTCTACGTGATCTGTCTCTAGAAGACAGAAGCACTGCCAATATTGCTGGAAAATTGATTGAGCTTGCCACATCGCAAATGCAAGCTCGCATGTATCGCGAGTCCCGCCAGTCGTTGTCTGACGTCGTAAGTCATCTCTCTGACGGTGGCTTTCTCCGATCATTGACAGGCTTACTCGAATCTATGCCTGTGTTACGAGCCTTGGAACAAATTGACAGCGGCTCCGAAGTCCTGGAGGCGATCGCACTGGCCCGACAACTCAGCAGAGATTCGAAGCGTACATGCCTCCAAGAGTTGACCACAAATCTCAGCGAGGAGGAGTCAACTATTTTTCAGTACATATGGCTTATGATCCCCCCCGGGCAGCCATCTGACTATCCGCAGGGGGACCTCGATACCTGCGTGTGTCTGCTGCTTGACAGACTAACTCCTATAACATACCCAATCCGAAGATTGCAGGTTCTCCAGCGTGCTCTTACGCTTGCTGTGTCATTTCCTTCTACAACTTCGCTAGCGAACTCGCCACCCTGCTCGGTCCTTAATGCGAGTCTGGGTCGTGATGCCGGACTCGCCAAATACGTGGAGCATCTTCAACATTCCTGGAATTTTGCGCAAGCACTGCGAAGGACTGACAGCAAGGCAGATGTGTTCACCCAGTCGCTGAGTTACTGGAGCGAAGTATCTAGGTCTGATGCTTTGAAAAACGATATCGACGACCCTGAATATCTTTTACAACTTCTTATAAGTGCTTGCCCTCTTCTAGAATTGAAAGGATATTTTGCTCTAGCAGAGCTCGCCCTTCGGATCTGTGAGGTACTTTGTGAGACCGCAAAGCATTTGCAAGACAAGTTTACACTTCTAGTGAAGCTCGCACGCTGTCGTATTGCAATTCGTCAAGGCAATACTGTCAAGGCGAATCTTTGTCTGGCAGGTCTACCAAAAAACGATGGCGACATGCGTCTTCATACACGCTTGGAGCTTGCAGAGATCAGGTTGAAGCTATCGTCAATATCCTCTGATCCTAGAGGGATGCATGAGACCTTGTCTGACGCGCTGGCAATGACGTCGACAAGTGGCTTGAGAAGACATGAGAAAATGCAAGTTTATGACTTTCAAAGTAATATCGGTCTTTCCATGGCTGCATACCTAGGACGTACTGGACAATTTTCACTGAGCGCTCAAGTCGCACGAGCATCACTCCTGCTTCTGAGATCGATTATTGCTTCCGATGATCGTCAGAAAGCCGACAATCATACGAACGAAGTAATTACCAGCAACAATGTAGCAGCAGTCACAGACTCACTTTCCAGACTTGAGCTCTCTGGCCTCATCAAAGGAGAGTCTACTTCGGAAGACATTGATGCGGCAAGTGACCCATGCATGCTGGCCCGCATTTTCGATTGCACACTGCTGTTGAGTAGGATTGCATTATCTCAGGGCAACGGAAGTGAAGCTCGATATTATTTAGAGCAGGCAACACGATCGATTAAAGGGCCGAATTCGATGGAACTCACTCGACGTCTAGCGGCCGAGACTCTGCAACTCCAGGTATTCTCAGGGTTTGTCGGAAATGAGCTGTACGATCCATTCCAAGATCCGCCTTGCGTCAATGCCGCACAACAGACAGATGTCACTGCGTCCGCCTGGAGCCTAGCCTGTGGCGATTGGTCCGTAAGATTCAAAGACGTAGCTGAGGCCCTAGATCAATATGCACTGGCGGAGAAATTTCTGGTCATAACCGATAATGCACTTGGACATGAATCACAGGCCCAGGCGGCGCAGCCAGTCAGACCGACCACGACTACCACTAAAAAGTCCGTCCCACAGACTAAACGTCCTTCAAAGTTGACACAAAAAACAGTCAGGAAGACGGCAAAGAAGCTTGAAACCAGTTTGGTGAGCAGTGAAAAACGTAATTTACGTGAGAATGTCACGCTGAAAGAAGAGCGATTCAATCACAGGCATGAGGAGATGCTCGAACGCATCTTCCGGCAAAGATCACTGGCACTACTAAAGGGCAACGACTTGTCTGCCGCGAAGGACATTTTAGATAAGCTATCGCTACCGGGGGTACCATCTGGCAACCAACAGCTCTCAATCGCTCATACTCGCCTCAGAATGGCCATGGTGCGGGCCAAACTCATGACGGATGTAAACTATAGCACGCTGCCGGAGTCCACCTTGGCTATACCTTCAGCATACAGAGCAGCTCATCCGGATGAAGCACAGGGCCAAGGAACTACTCCGAACTTGAAATCTGTCGCGACGAAGCATCCGAGATCCAAGTCGTTGAAAGCTGAGAGTATGCAGAGCGTGCTCAACGAAGCCAACAGACATATCTCTCTACCAGCAAAGACAACTTCTCTCCAACCATTGCCGCAAGTCTACGAGATAAGCTCCCTTTCTGTGTCGACTGATATGCTACGATCGGCTGTCAGTGAATGCAAGGCTACCGAACTACATCCGTGTGAGATGGCACATATGCTTGAAATGTCAGCAAATGAGGCTTCTCGTCGTCAAGTTCTTGAAGCTGGTATGGACGGAAAGAAGGCGAACCTGATTGAGCTGCTTCAGAAAGCTAAAGAGCAGGACAGTATCCAATCACCGTTATCGGCAGCAACTTTTCAAGACGACTTTGTTGATCTGCTGCCCGACAATTGGACGGTCATTAGCTTGTCTATGAACGAAGAAGGTACCGAGATCTGGGCCGCACGGTACAACAAGAATACTCTGCCATTCATTTCACGACTCCCGATGGCGAGGTCGAGAGACACTGAGCTTGAAGAAGATTCGCCTTTCAACTATTCGACCGCCAAACAAGAGCTTATAGACGTCATCAAACAGTCGGACTACAGTTGCCATCATCCACCAGATCCGAGTGTCAAGGGTGGAAAATCTAAGTGGTGGGAGGAGCGGGAAGCATTGGATGCGAGAATGCACGATCTACTCTCAAACATTGAGAATATTTGGTTCGGTGGATTCAAGGGCGTGCTCTCCTCTGGACGATCCCCTTCAGACTTGCTCGCACGGTTTCAGAAGTCTTTTGAGGCAATTCTTGATCGCCACCTCCCGTCTCGGCGTGCGGTCAAGGCGAAGCGCGAAAAAGTAGCTCTGCACGCACAGATTTTAGAGTTGTTTGTCAAGCTGGCCGTCGATACAGATGTTGACATCGACGACCACATCATGGATCTTCTCTTCTTCATCGTCGATATTCTCCGCTACAACGGCGAGCCAAATGCCTACGACGAGATTGATCTAGACGCCATGGCAATTGAGACTCTCGATGCAATAAGCGCCTACCACAGCGCCGCTGGTTCGCCCGAGACAGATGACTCCCACATTGTCCTCCGCTTGGATAAGCGTCTCCACTGTTTTCCCTGGGAAAGCATACCTTGCCTTCAAGGTATAAGCGTCTCCCGAGTCGCAAGCCTCCTCCAAGTGCGTGAGCGCGTCCTTGCCATGCGTAGCGGCCGCTCGACTATCTCCCAGACGAAAGGAACGTACATCCTCAACCCATCAGGCGACCTAAGCCGTACAGAAGCTACTCTGCTCCCCGCCCTTGCTCACTTGGACAGCAAATCCTGGACACCCGTAGTCCGCACCAAGCCCGACGAATCCGCCTTCACATCCGCCTTGTCCTCTTCCAACGCGCTACTATACTTCGGCCACGGCAGCGGAGCGCAGTACGTCCGTCCGCGCGCCATCGAACGGCTCGAGACTTGTGCCCCCGCCGTGTGGCTAATGGGTTGCTCGTCGGGTCTAGCGACCGAGTATGGACAGCTGGAGACTACATCCGTACCATTGTCATATCTTACGGCCGGCAAAACGGACGTCGATACCATGGACTACTGGACGAAGGGCAGAGACGGGCTGTGCATGGCTGTCGTAGCCACGCTATGGGATGTCACAGATCGAGATATCGACAAATTCAGTCTGGCGGTGGGGGAGAAGTGGGGCCTTTTCGAGTCAAATGGGGACGAGGTTGGGATGGAGGCTGTTGCTGTGCCGAAGACGCTAGGAAGGAAGAGGAAAGAGGCGATGACAAAGACGCCGGGTAAGACACCGGGGCGGAACAGGAAGGCCAAAACGGTCGATGAGGGAAAGCAAGCGGGTGATGGGAATAAACACGGTGGAATGAGCCTGTCGGAGGCTGTTGCGAAGAGTAGGGATGTGTGTTACTTGAGATACCTGAATGGTGCGGCCTCTGTGGTATATGGTGTGCCAGTATACCTGGAGAAGTAGCGAAGACTTGAATAATTGTATTTTTAAATGACTGTAATGTAGTATCCACAAGTCTTGCGAGCTATTTTCTCTATTCTTACGTGATGAGAGGGCAGAGGCTTTGAACTGATCGAAAACCAGTATATCCCTCCCATATTTTGAGCATGAAAGCTTGAATTTTCCGTTAGATATACCCAGAGCTGGCAACAAATGCTCTTCAAGTATAATTTGAGGTAAAAATAAACCGATCAGACACGATATTATTATGCAGATATCGATCATGGGAAAGAGCCAAAAATGCAAAATGATCTTGGCAGGATTCGAACCTGCAATCTCCTGATATCAACTTGGGAACCAAGTTTCGTAGTCAGGCGCCTTGACCATTGGGCCACAAGACCGGATTACTGAATGCCTCGAAAGCTTAAGTTGTATATATAATACAAACCCCAGGAAAAATGACCTCTTGCTTAATCCAGGCTTCCCGCATCCATTACCTGATTGCTGGTTACACAGTGTTACGTATATTCAAGGCGCCGCCCTCTCAAACAACTTGCCAGCTACAAACTCACGACCTCGAGATTAATAGCAGTCATGAGTCGCACAATAAAATAAAAAAGCCTCCCACCGGAGATCCTGCTTAACATGATGCTCCAATTGCCAGACCTGGAATGCCTCGACAATCTGCTTCAAGCATCGCCTCGTTCGGAAGCAGGACTCAACTCGATTACTTGGTGCAGCGTTCTTGAGGGCAAGGACGTTGCAGAGGCAGCCTAATTCTCACTGAGAGCATGACATCGCTATCGGTGTTCCTCAGATTCGCTCTGATCGCAACTGTGCAATCCCGAACAAACTTTTGGTAAAATCTGAGCGTTTCCTTCATTCCCACTCCGTGGACCGCACACACTGCCGGCTTATGACCCAGGACTCTACGGCTTCAGGCCGGTGGGATATCTGTGCTTAAATAGGCCTCAGGGCATGAGCGTGGCAATTTTTTTCACTTTACTTTTGACACTACACATTACAGCTCTAATTCCTGGCAGTTTCCTCACGAGTAAGGGCTGGTAGGGAACTCATGGACACTCGTCTCTCAATAGGTGACTGTGACAGCATATAGCGATACACTGGTGCCATTGTGGGTAATGTATGGCATACGCCAAATCTTTCTCAAGGCAAAGTTGGTGCGAATGTAGCTGGTGAGTGTTTGGGGGACGGCTTCAGCCACGGGACTTGCGCATCTTCTTTACTGCAGGTCAAATCAATTGCTGACGATGAAGAGTGTGCCCGCACTCAGTCACAAGATAAGTTGTACCGCGAAACCAACACAGACAGTGGACCATTTTATATGAAGGATTATTGTCCAGCAATTTCGATTTTGGTCTTTTTGACGACCCCAGAATGTCGAATCCGCCAATGTGGTCCGTTTCATCTACGTGGTCGCTCTCCTAGTCGGCCTCCTGTGGGTCGTCCAGCACGGAGTTCACATCCCACATATCCCCGACAAAGCGTCGAATCCATGCAAAAGAGCGACATTGAAGGCAACGACCGGATTTGTTTGACGTGGGAGGGTTTTGACGCCATTTTCACCTATGCAGCTTCGTCCTCGCGATCTTCCAGCTTCAAGCATCAGCACGGCTAACTTTCGAAATGGAAAGGTCCAGGAATCCATGCGAGGTGTGAAGGCTCGAGAGCATGGCCCTGTGGTAGGTCGTGAACTCGCAAGCGCGGCTTACAACAAGGTCCCACTGGCGACCCATAGCCCGAGCAAGAAACCGAGGATAGTCCAGCAGATTGTCGATGGCTTTGTCAAATACATGCAATTCAGTCCTTTGCCTCTGAACATTTGTTGAAAGAGTGGTCGTTGAAGGCATGTCATTCGGGACCTACATGGAATCTTTAGATGGCGTCTGGGAAGATATTGAGGGTACTGCTGAGCCCAGCGGACGAAGTATCCGTCTCCTATGCTACGGCGATTGGCGCCAGGATCATTTGATCCGTAGTTCATTCTGTAAAGCCAACGGAATTGCCATCGTGGCAGACGTTAACAATGGCATCAATCGTGCTTTCCTCTGCTTGTACACCCAAATGAGGTTGGTCGCTAAGAATGTTGTTGATAGTTGTCATCTGTGACCAGTGTGTTGCCAGTATTCAGTCGGTCTTGACATCCTTGCGGTAAACATCGACATCAAACAACTTCTTGACCATCCAGCTATGGCCATCAACCCTGATCTGAATCAGCCCTTCTGCACCCAAGAACAGAGCATAGATAGTACTCACAGGATTGGTCCTCCTCGCCAAAAGGGTAGCACATCTGCTCTACCCCGGCGCCTTCGAACGACCTCTTCCATGACCTCTCCCCGCTGGAAAGCCCTCACATCTCTACCACTCACAGTCCCGTCCCGCTCTGCAATCAAGCCCCAGCATCCAACGGCGTCAAATTTGCTGACTAGGCCTCCGCCAGAAGTGGCCGCAACGAGCTCGCGGAGACCATATCGGCGATTCTCATCGATATCAAAGCGCCCGGGGCCGCCCAACAGCACGCGGGAAGTCTTCACGGTCGGGACGTGAATGGTGAGACTGAAGGCACCGGTGTTGCGGAAGACGAGATGGCGTGTCACCGCGAGGAATACGGCGACGGGGAAGTTCAGTCCCAGGCTCAGGTCGCCCCGGAGAGAGTCGAGGAAGGTGATGGTCTGAGATTTGGGGGAAGATCGGGTTGCGAAGAAGCTCAGGAGGCGGTGAAAAGGCGACGACATGATCGCGAAAGTGACGATGGCTAGTCAATGAATGAATAATTCAGACCGAGTTGTTGGTAAAGCCCGTAATTTTGAATAGCGATGTATTGTGCTGCACTGACATGTTGTGATCATCAAGTGCGTCATCATGCCGGCTTGAAAACATCAAGTTATACCAGAGCTGAAATTCCTTTGGTGCTGGACTTCCCCTTTTCAAATTGACAATCAATATTCCCAATTCCGTCCGTGGCGATGACATATTTAGACCGGTCGTGTGCAGTAGCACAACTGAAGGTGTGTGCATCGATCATGGTATCTGTCTGCATCTATCCTTGAAGGAAGTATTCACCCAGACACACAGTAATTGCCCAATTTGTGCGATATGTATCTCATCTTTGTCCTCACTTCTTTTTTTTTTACCTTCGCCCTTGCACTCGCTCCAAGAAGCGTTCCAATTCATCCTCTATCACGCATGTCTAGTCTATCTTTTTGTGCATTCTCTGAACGACATCCAATCTCTATCACATCCTGAGTGAGCTCCAATGGCCGGGCCAGCGGTGGATGGTGACTACAGCCCTCGTTCTCTCTCGAACCGCGCTGACAAAGTGTCGTCCAGTTCCCTTCGCAGGAATCGCAAGTCTTCCATCCGAAATAGTTCGCATGTTCGTATCTTATCTCGACCGCAAAAGTCTTTCAGCTGTGGTTCGGGTGAGCCGGGCATGGTCTGAGGCAGGACTGGATGTTCTTTGGCGGCATGTTGAGTCGGACCATTTCAAGAACATTGAGGTCACCCGACATGAACACTATGCTCGTAGAGTCCGTGAGCTCATCGTGCTCGATCAAAGTATTCAGAACCTTTCCGGCATTACCTTTCCACAGCTCCGGATCCTCCACTTCGACTTAGTCCAATACAGCGAGGCGATGTTCGAGATGTTCGCGACCTGTAGTTCCACAATAGAGCATTTGACATTCAACATCGAGTCCCAACATGACGCGGACACAGGTGAGCAGCTGAACGAACGGACTCTGGAATGCTTCAAGAGCTGCGAAAACTTGCGCGAGATCGTCATAGGCTACACGCTATGGGATCAGCCCATGAATGATGACATATATACTCACCTCGCAACTCGCAGAGGACTCCGCACTCTGAGAGTCCACACGCCTATCAGATCAGAATTGATTCAACACTTGCTCGCTCATAACGACGGGATTTTCACTAATATCGTTGATTCCCACATCATCGGAGATCCAGCTTCTCTCCTAACGCTTTTCCTCGCGGCGAACGGCTTCAAACATCTCACAAGCTTGTTTATCGAAACACACGATCCTACTGAATCGTTCCAAGCCCGCATAGCAGATGTACTGCCTCCCGGTCTGTTAAACTTGACTATCATGTATGTGGATGTGGTGAGGATCGAATACCTCGCAAAGTCGGGTATTTTGGCCCTGGGTCAATTTCGGAAACTACGCGTTTTGGTAGTCATGGGTGTATTCATGTGGACTTATCCATGGACCAAGGACGAGACCAAGGCTTTCTATCAAATTTCCCGGATCTCGAGAAGCTGTGCTTCACATTTGGGTGCAGTGCTCACTGGCCGTTGCTTAGCCTCCGCTCCTTGAAAAGATCTGCCCTCATCTGTCAGATTACCGGTTTCCGAAATATGGACAACCCTTTGGCCTGCCCCATGCTGTTCCCGATTCCAATTCCGATTCCGACAACGATAACATGTCTCACGAAGTTGAAAACCCCGATAGCGAAAATGACGGCGTTGATATCGGAGGCAATGGATCCAGTGCCAACGAGGAAGGTATTGCTCCAGACGATGCAAGCCTCGATCCAGACGATGAGGGCACCAATGCAAACGATCACGATTCTGGTACCGGTGATGGCAGTCTACACAGGAACCCTTCTTTGTCAACGATAGATCTTTCTAAGGGAAACGGCAGTCGTGTGAAAATGATGCAGATCAATGAGTCGATCCTGATGCACGGATGGCGGTTCTATCTGGCTCATATGGCGTATCGGCACACTGTCTTTGCGCGATTCTATACCAAGTCGGAGAATATCACGTGCACCACTGGGGGTGACAAACAAGGGAAGTACGTGCGAAAGAGTGCTCATTCCAGACGATATCCTAAGCCGAACAATGAGCAAGTCTGGAGCATGATTTGAGAGTGATGCCGTTGGTGACCTCAGACAAATTACTTGAAGCTCATGACGAAGTGCAAGCTTCGACGCAGTTCGGATTGGCACTGGCCTTGTGAATTAGCTTTCGACACTCTCGTTTGAGATACGATCATCCATAGACAGGAGTCTCTGGGCCGAATATGCAGATTGTCTCATTGCGTATCAGTACGAACGATACTGTAACTCTACTTCCCGAAGGTCCCAAGTCAACGCCATGCTTTTCCGAATTTCACTGTGCGCATCCCATCTCCATCATGAGCAAGATCGTTCCCCTACGAGACTAATATGTACTCCACAATCCAGATACCGTGTCCTAGTAGACTCTCTGGGCGGAGTTGACGCCACCGTGCTGCTGCATCTGCTGTTGTTGTAGCTGAAGTTGCTGCTGAGCCATGAGCTGAGGCAGATCCGCGAACCAAGGGTGCTGCAGGGCTTGCTGAGCAGAGATGCGCATCTCGGGGCGAAGCTGGAGCATCGA